CATCCATCTGGGATATACTCCTGTGTTAGTCTCCTGCCGAAAGGGGAGATATGTGACGGGAGTGACTTTTGGGGGTGGGGGGACCTCTGTATCATCTCCCCAAATCATTATGTTTAACCCACCCTGTGCCTGTTTAAGGGGTACAGGGTGTGTATGTGAATGTCTGAGTCTTGAGTATAGTGTGTGTTCCTTTGTCTAGGCCACATGGCTGTCTATTGTCTGTTTGCCATGTGCTATCCCCCATTGTGCTGTGTCTTCCTTTCCAGCCAACTATTATGGGATGTACTGTTTGTGTATTGGTGTGGGGGTTGGTCAATGTCCTTTACCATGTGTTTTCATCCCATTGTTCTGTGTCTGGGTGGGATGGGGCGGGCTGATGATGTATTTCCTGTTCCTGGTTGTGTTTCCCCGCCCTCTGTACAAAACATGTTGTTTGTGTAAAATAAAGAGTTGTTGGCTTCCTGTATTATGAAGAGCTGGGTATTGTCTGTTTCCTGAGGGATTTCAAGGGTGTGGTCCGTGGATGGTGTTCGGACAGGGGAAAAACTCAGTGCGGTCTGGGTTCCGGTTCCGTTTACATCTACCTCCAATTTTAGTAATGCTAGATATGCCGATTGGTGCCCTTGCCTTCTTTGTGATACCACAAGCCTCACTGTGTGTCACAATTGACAGATATTATACAACAGCACTGACTGCTTTTTGAAGGGTCCACAAGAAAAGACTGTAGAAGTTGTAGAGTATTGCAGTCTCATGAGGCTTTTTTGTGAGTAGCTTAAATAAACATCTTCTGCAGAAAATTATTTTACCAGGCTGGGAGCTATAGTGTCTTCAGATGGCTAAACATTACTAATACTTATTACAGGGTGCTTGGAAAAGGAAATACCGAGGGTTCTGACCTTCAGTTGACATCTAAGGTTGTCAATTATCCATCAAAGTAAATTATTAGGTCCCTGTCCCAATAATCGTATGTACCCCACTGTTTGCCTTCCCTGAATACCTGCAAGTTGTATCTAAAAGCAACTACAGTTATGTGGACAAACAATCCTCTTGTCAGGGCTCCCGAGTATGACCAGAGGTGTGACTGACGCAGGGAAACGCAGACTTCAGATATGTTATAAACAATGTAATTTATTAACACTAACCATACAAACTCAAACGCAGTGCAATACTAAAACATAACACAGTGCAAACAAACCAACCAACCACCCACAGATAACAGTACATACAATGCAAGCGTCGTCAGGCAGGCCGGGTCAATATCAGTCGGACAGGTAGGTACAGGGGGAGCAAACGGAGAATGGTCGGGGTCACAGGCCAGGTTCAGCAGGTAGCGGGCAGCGTGGTACAGAGGGTCAGGCAGAGGAGAATGGTCAGACAAGCCAGGGATCAGAGCAGGGTCAGCAGAGAATCAGACAGGAACAGAGAGCAGGAACAGGATACAGGGCCCAAGAGAAACACAACACCAAGGCAGAGTCTGCAGGTCTGAATGTCCCTTAAATACACCAGTATAATTCGTTCCAGGTGTTTGACTGGCTGCAAGGTTGAGTCTCTGATTGCTGGGAGCACCGCTGGCCAGCCCTGGTACTGCAGCTCATAAGGCAGCTGAGTCCCACTATTGCTGGCCAGTCCATTCCTAACAGTACCCCCCCCCCTCAAGGAGCAGCCTCAGGACGCTCCAAACAGTCCTAGCTGGGCAAAATGTTCCACCGCCCGGGTCTGGTAACTGGCGGGATATCAAAGACTGGCACACCGGGCAGGACTCCGGGCAGAGGCACATCGGGCTGGACTCCGGGCAGAGGCACATCGGGCTGGACTCCGGGCAGAGGCACATCGGGTTGGACTCCGGGCAGAGGCACATCGGGCTGGACTCCGGGCAGAGGCACATCGGGCTGGACTCCGGGCAGAGGCACATCGGGCTGGACTCCGGGCAGAGGCACATCGGGCTGGACTCCGGGCAGAGGCACATCGGGCTGGACTCCGGGCAGAGGCACATCGGGCAGAGGCACACCGGGCAGAGGCACACCGGGCAGAGGCACATCGGGCTGGACTCCGGGCAGAGGCACATCGGGCTGGACTCCGGGCAGAGGCACATCGGGCTGGACTCCGGGCAGAGGCACATCGGGCTGGACTCCGGGCAGAGGCACATCGGGCTGGACTCCGGGCAGAGGCACATCGGGCTGGACTCCGGGCAGAGGCACATCGGGACTCCGGGACTCCGGGCAGAGGCACATCGGGCTGGACTCCGGGCAGAGGCACATCGGGCTGGACTCCGGGCAGAGGCACATCGGGCTGGACTCCGGGCAGAGGCACATCGGGCTGGACTCCGGGCAGAGGCACATCGGGCTGGACTCCGGGCAGAGGCACATCGGGCTGGACTCCGGGCAGAGGCACATCGGGCTGGACTCCGGGCAGAGGCACATCGGGCTGGACTCCGGGCAGAGGCACATCGGGCTGGACTCCGGGCAGAGGCACATCGGGCTGGACTCCGGGCAGAGGCACATCGGGCTGGACTCCGGGCAGAGGCACATCGGGCTGGACTCCGGGCAGAGGCACATCGGGCAGGACTCCGGGCAGAGGCACATCGGGCAGGACTCCGGGCAGAGGCACATCGGGCAGAGGCACATCGGGCAGAGGCACACCGGGCAGAGGCACACCGGGCAGAGGCACACCGGGCTGGACTCCGGGCAGAGGCACATCGGGCTGGACTCCGGGCAGAGGCACATCGGGCTGGACTCCGGGCAGAGGCACATCGGGCTGGACTCCGGGCAGAGGCACATCGGGCTGGACTCCGGGCAGAGGCAGATCGGGCTGGACTCCGGGCAGAGGCACATCGGGCTGGACTCCGGGCAGAGGCACATCGGGCTGGAATCCGGGCAGAGGCACATCGGGCTGGACTCCGGGCAGAGGCACATCGGGCCGGACTCTGGGCAGAGGCCCATCGGATTACCAGGCGAAGCAGCAGGCACCGGGCCCCCAGGCGGAGCAGCAGGCACCGGGCCCCCGGGCGGAGCAGCAGGCACCGGGCCCCCGGGCGGAGCAGCAGGCAGCAGGCCACCGGGCGGGGCAACAGCGGGGCCCCGGGCCCCCGGCGGGGCAACAGGCACCGGCCCCCCGGGCGGGGCAACAGGCACCGGGCCCCCGGGCGGGGCAACAGGCACCGGGCCCCCGGGCGGGGCGAACAGGCACCGGGCCCCCGGGCGGGGCGACCGGCATCGGGCCCCCAGGCGGAGCGGCGGGCGCCAAGCCCCCAGGAGGGGCGACAGGCGTCGGGCCCCCAGGCGGGGCGACAGGCGTCGGGCCCCCCAGGCGGGGCGACAGGCGTCGGGCCCCCAGGCGGGGCGACAGGCGTCGGGCCCCCAGGCGGGGCGACAGGCAGCGGGCCCCCAGGCGGGGCATGGGCAGGCAGCCGGGCCCCCGGGCGGGAGCAGCAGGCACCGGGCCCCGGGCGGGCGGAGCAGCAGGCACCGGGCCTCCGGGCGGGCGGGGCGACTGGCATCGGGTCCCCAGGCGGGGCGACCGGCATCATCGGGCCCCCAGGCGGAGCGGCGGGCGGGCCCCCAGGAAGCCCCCAGGAGGGGCGACAGGCGTCGGGCCCCCAGACGGGGCGACAGGCGTCGGGGGCAGCGGGCCACCGGGCGGGGCGGCAGGCACCGGGCCCCCGGGCGGAGCAGCAGGCACCGGGCCCCCGGGCGGAGCAGCAGGCGTCGGGACCCCCAGGCGGGGCAACAGGCACCGGGGCCCAGCGGGGGGGGCCCAGGCACCGGGCCCCCGAGCGGGCAACAGGCACCGGGCCCCCGGGCGGGGCAACAGGCACCGGGCCCCCGGGCGGTAAAACAGGCACCGGGCCCCCGGGCGGTAAAACAGGCACCGGGCCCCCGGGCGGTAAAACAGGCACCGGGCCCCCGGGCGGGGCGACCGGCATCAGGTCATCAGGCGGGGGCCCGGCATCAGGTCCCCAGGCGGGGCGACCGGCATCAGGTCCCCAGGCGGGGCGACCGGCATCAGGTCCCCAGGCGGGGCGACCGGCATCAGGTCCCCAGGCGGGGCGACCGGCATCAGGTCCCCAGGCGGGGCGACCGGCATCAGGTCCCCAGGCGGGGCGACCGGCATCAGGTCCCCAGGGGCCCCATCAGGTCCCCAGGCGGGGCGACCGGCATCAGGTCCCCAGGCGGGGCGACCGGCATCAGGGCATCGGGCCCGACCGGCATCAGGCTCCAGGGGGCGACGGCATCAGGTCTCCAGGCGGGGCGCGGGGCAGGCGGGGCGACCGGCATCCAGGCGGGCCCCCAGGCGGGAGCGGAGCGGGCGCCGGGCCCCCAGGAGGGGCGACAGGCATCGGGCCCCCAGGCGGAGCGGTGGGGCGCCGGACCCCCAGATGGAGCGACGGGTCTCGGGCCCTCAGGCGAGCGGCGGGCGCCGGACCCCCAGGTGGAGCGACGGGTCTCGGCCCTCAGGCGGAGCGGCGGGCGCCGGACCCCCAGGTGGAGCGACGGGTCTCGGGCCCTCAGGCGGAGCGGCGGGCGCCGGACCCCCAGGCGGAGCGACAGGTCTCGGGTTCTCAGGTGGAGCGGCGGGGCGCCGGACCCCCAGGGGGAGCGACAGGTCTCGGGCCCTCAGGCGGAGCGACAGGTCTCAGGCCCCCAGGCGGGGCGGCGGCGGGCGCCGGACCCCCAGGCGGAGCGGGGGTCGGGGCGCCGGACCCCCAGGCGGAGCGACAGGTCTCGGGCCCCCAGGCGAATTGGATCGCGGTCTGGGCAGTGGGGAGTCACCAGGCACAGACATTGGGCTCCGCAGTCAATCTGGCAAGGCAGTGGGCTCCGAGTCAACTGGGACCACGGGCACTGGGTCAGACATTGGATCGTCTGGCTGGACAGCGGGCATCGGGTCACCAGGCATCAGGTCATTTGGCTCGACAGCGGCACCGCGTCATCTGGCAAGGCAGTGGGCTCTGAGTCAACTGGCATGACCGCGGGCACTGGGGCAGACATTGAATCGTCTGGGCTGGACAGCGGGCATCGGGTCACCAGGGCATCAGGTCATTTGGCTCAACAGCGGGCACCGCCTCATCTGGCAAGGCAGTGGGCTCCGAGTCAACAGGCACGACAGTGGGCACCGGGTCATCAGGAACCGGATTGTCTGGCTCGACAGCGGGCATCGGGTCACCAGGTATGACAGCGGGCACTGGGTCAACAGGCATCAGGTCATTTGGCTCGACACAGCGGGCACCGCGTCATCTGGCAAGGCAGTGGGCTCCGAGTCAACTGGTATGTATGACCGCGGGCACTGGGTCAGACATTGGATCGTCTGACTGGACAGCGGGCATCGGGTCACCAGGCATCAGGTCATTTGGCTCGACAGCGGGCACCGCGTCATCTGGCAAGGCAGTGGGCTCCGAGTCAACAGGCACGACAGTGGGCACCGGGTCATCAGGTACCGGATTGTCTGGCTCGACAGCGGGCATCGGGTCACCAGGTATGACAGCGGGCACTGGGTCACCAGGCATCAGGTCATTTGGCTTGCCAGCGGGCACCGCGTCATCTGGCAAGGCAGTGGGCACCGAGTCACCAGGTAAGACAGCGGCTCTGAGTCAATTGGCACGACAGCGGGCACCGGATCAGGTACCGGATCATCTGGATCAACAGCGGGGGCATCGAGTCAACTGGCCTAATAGGATCGTCAGGCTGGATCAGTTCATCATGCTGGGTAGAGGCATCAGGCTGAATGCCGGCGTCCGGCTGAGTAGAGGCATCAGGCCGAGTAGAGGCATCAGGCCGAGTAGAGGCATCAGGCCGAGTAGAGGCATCAGGCCGAGTAGAGGCATCAGGCCGAGTAGAGGCATCAGGCCGAGTAGAGGCTTCAGGCCGAGTAGAGGCTTCAGGCCGAGTAGAGGCTTCAGGCCGAGTAGAGGCATCAGGCCGAGTAGAGGCATCAGGCCGAGTAGAGGCTTCAGGCCGAGTAGAGGCATCAGGCCGAGTAGAGGCATCAGGCCGAGTAGAGGCATCAGGCCGAGTAGAGGGCTTCAGGCCGAGTAGAGGCTTCAGGCCGAGTAGAGGCTTCAGGCTGAGAGAGGCATCAGGCTGCGTATCAGGCATCAGGCTGCGTACAGGCATCAGGCCGAGTAGAGGCATCAGGCCGAGTAGAGGCATCAGGCGCGTACAGGCATCAGGCGAGTACAGGCATCAGGCTGAGTACAGGCATCAGGCTGAGTACAGGCATCAGGCTGAGTACAGGCATCAGGCTGAGTACAGGCATCAGGCTGAACCACGGAAGGCAGGTTCACCGGTTTGGATACTGGCAGGATGGTATTGGTTGGAAAGAATTTTCGCTTTTTTCTGGTTTTAACTACTGGAGCACTGCAAGTAAACGCAGGTCTGCAAACGAATGGAGCAGCTGGAGACAGAGAAGAACTGGAGGATGGAACAGGAGGGGGAACAGTTGCTACAGAGGGCTTTTTTACAGGGTTTAAAGGCAGAATAGGTGCAGCGAGTGGGAACAGGGTACTGACATGCGGTAGATAGCAGGGCAGGAGGACTGGGTTTTTGTAAGCTGACTGAGGCTGGGTGCAACAAATCTGTCCATGTCTGCAGTATGGGTTGAACAAAGCTGAGCTTACACAAAGCCTGTCTGGTCAATGACTGCACTGCGTTTATACAATCTCTTAGTGTCTGTGGTGAACATGTGGAATAACGCTCCAGAAAGTAACCCACATCATCCTCTAATAACCATACCAGGGACTCTACCTGGTCTGCACTAAATGGTGGCAAAAATTCATCCCTGCATTCGGGGGTACCAGATGAAACCAACTCAGCACAAACCTCAATCAAAGGCTGCACCTCAGAGAACTCTGTGCCCTGATCTACTAGAACATGAGCGAGCCGTATACATTCTAGCAGTTCATCCCGGGGATACTCCTTCAGAGTTTGATAAGCATACTCCCTGTCATCAAACACTAGCAGATATAAATACGCAACCTCATCAAGATCCATCCTTCCCATCAACAAGCCAAGATGGCTTCCCTGTGCAGCCACTTCTGATCAGGATTGGCCTTGGTGTAATGTCAGGGCTCCCGGGTATGACCAGAGGTGTGTGACTGACGCAGGGAAACGCAGACTTCAGATATGTTATAAACAATGTAATTTATTAACACTAACCATACAAACATAAACGCAGTGCAATACTAAAACATAACACAGTGCAAACAAACCAACCAACCACCCACAGATAACAGTACATACAATGCAAGCGTCGTCAGGCAGGCCGGGTCAATATCAGTCGGACAGGTAGGTACAGGGGGAGCAAGCGGAGAATGGTCGGGGTCACAGGCCAGGTTCAGCAGGTAGCGGGCAGCGTGGTACAGAGGGTCAGGCAGAGGAGAATGGTCAGACAAGCCAGGGATCAGAGCAGGGTCAGCAGAGAATCAGGCAGGAACAGAGAGCAGGAACAGGATACAGAGCCCAAGAGAAACACAACACCAAGGCAGAGTCTGCAGGTCTGAATGTCCCTTAAATACACCAGTATAATTAGTTCCAGGTGTTTGACTGGCTGCAAATTTGAGTCTCTGATTGCTGGGAGCACCCGCTGGCCAGCCCTGGTACTGCAGCTCATAAGGAAGCTGAGTCCCACTATTGCTGGCCAGTCCATTCCTGACACCTCTTCTACAGTAATGGTGATTAGGAATTGTAAATCCACATCGGTTTTCAGATTGGTCTTTACCCACAGTCAGAAGTCATGGACATGCACACAGAGTATATCCCAGCATAAGAGGGATAGTCTATAACTGAAAAAGGCAATTGCATTAGGTAAACAGACTCTCCTATTTCACTTTTTTCTCTGTAAAAATGTATTCAATTTCAGTTATAGAAATGACAACCCTGGATTATTCTTGATAGTTGTATTTATTTCACTACTGACAGGTCCACTCTGCAGGGATTACTCTGTGTAGGTTTGAAAATGATAATGCTTTTACTTAACCTCAATAAAGTTTAGTGGACATCAAAGCTCTTTCAGCAAGTCTATATTCACAACCACTAACCGCATGAGAAATACCAAATACAGTAGTTCAATATTGTGACAATAATTCCACTTGTGTATGTGTGTATATATAACTGGTGATTGAGGAAGTCTGTGCGGAAGACAGAGAGACCACATGAGAATTACAATGACCCACTGGATCAAAGCTTGCCTGGTGGGGTTGAGTAATGTGTCTGTCTTCTCTACAGGGTCCTAAGGCAGAGCCTTCCTGGCCTTGCAGCACCTCATGATATTGTTCCCATAAGGCTACATTCACATGGGTGGCCAAGGAGGAATAGTTTGCTGCGTTCAGAGGTGATTGAGGAAGTCTGTGTTGAATACAGGGAGACCAGATGAGATTTACAATGACCCATTGGATCAAAGCTTGCCTGGTGGGGTTGAGCAAGATGCCTGTCTTCTCTACAGGGTCCCCAAGGCAGAGCCTTCCAGTCCTTGCAGCACCTCATGATATTGTTCCTATAAGGCTACATTCACATGGGTGGCCATGGAGAAATAGTTTTGTCAGGGATCGTGGCTACGAATGGCTCCACGCATGCGAAGAGCGCCGATCCATTCTAGCCGGCGGACACCAGGACCTGGACAGTAGCGGCCGCGCATGCACACTCGCAATCGCGGCCGCTCACCTGGCACCAATGGCAGGGCACGGAGCACTATTTAAACCTGCCCTGCACCTGCATACATTGCCGTATGGTCTTATTCCTGTGTTCCTGTATTCTGTTGTTGAAGATTCGTTGCTGACCTGCCTGGACCTGACCTCTGCTGACTTCTCCTGCTCTGACCCCTGGCTAAGTTTTGACCTCTCTTTTGGATATCCCTACCTGATCTGAACTACTGGTACCAACCCCGGCGAGTGACCTGACTATTCTTCTGCCTGCTGCCTTGTACTACGCTGACCTCTCTGTTACCGACCTGGCCCGTCTGACCACGCTCATCCATCCATCCATCCATCCGGTATGGATCCAGCCATCCCTGCTTCCACCTTCTGCCTCTTCACGCCAGGCTCTCTACCTGCACAGACCCCCAGCGGATTCCTCTACCGCAGACGGGTGTACTCAGGGGCCGCGACCTGGTTCCAGTCTGCTCCAAGTCCATCCCCACCATCAGGGGCCCTGGTGAACAAGCAGGCTGGGGCTTAGACTCTGTGCTCTGGGGAATCCTGTCCTGTGGGCTGCCAGAGGTACCGCCGGGCGGTTGCTAACAAGTTTGCTGCGTTCGGAGGTGATTGAAGAAGCCTGTGTTGAATACAGAGAGACCAGATGAGAATTACAATGACCCACTGGGGTGTATTTACTAAATCTGGAGAGTCCAAAATCAGACTCCCTTCTGCATAGAAACCAATCAGCTTCTAACCTCAGCTTGTTCAATGAAGCTTTGGCAAAGAAACCTGGAAGCTGATTGGTTTCTATGCAGAAAGGAGTCTGATTTTGGACTCTCCAGCTTTAGTAAATAAACCCCACTGGGTCAAAGCTTGCCTGATGGGGTTGAGTAAGGTATCTGTCTTCTCAACAGGATCCCCAAGGCAGAGCCTTCCTGGCCTTGCAGCAGCTCATGATATTGTGCCCATAAGGCTACATTCACATGGGTGACCAAGGAGGAATAGTTTGCTGCGTTCAGAGACAACTAAAACACCAGCTCTGAATGCAGCAACACTGTGAACTATGGTCACGTATAAACTGTCCAATTAGCTGTGGCCAGTTTTTTTGTGTAGCTGAAACTGCAGAAAAACACCGACCCTGGACACGCACTGGCTCTGTCCAGGGTCAGTCCAAGGATCCATTTGCATAATACCCCTCAGATTAATAGTGACGTGAACCACGGTGGAACTAGCTATTTTTTTTGTCTATACCAGCAACAGCTCTATAGAACAAATCTGACAGCTGGTGCTGGTCGGACAGCGTTTAGTACTACTAGAAACACTAAAACTTCAGCAGAACTGCAAATCACTACCTGACATTCCACTTTTTTATCATCATTATAAAAGTACATGCCTAAATTAAATGCCTAAATCACTAGCAGCTGCATTAACTAGTGCCCGTCGACCTGGCGCATATATGCGGCTTCTCAGCAGGTGGCCTTTAACACTGAGCGGCTGCAGATTTACATTTATTGGTATACTCCTTACTGTTCTGAGAACGCTCTCCTTGCACGCTCCCGGCACAGTAACAAATGGTTACCAGAAAACTCATGCCAATCACAGCAGTCACATGATTGGAATGCCTGCCTCCTCCTCCCGGCATTTTAGATCCATTAACATCAAAAAGGTAATGGATAGACAGTTAATATCACAAAGTGGTACAGAAAATACATACTTCATACAAAACAGCACAGAATTAAAATAAATAAATAAATCAGTCCAGAACAAAACCCTTAAACCATTTCCATGTGTGAAAATGTTATACAGGCCTGTGAAAAAAAAAAATGCTAAATTCAGTGCAATGCAATTTTCAGTCTTTTTCCTTCCAGCATGAAAATCAACAAGTGTCCAAAATAAGATGTTTTGTGATTTTTAAAACCACATTTTTTTTCTCCTTTAAGCAGACCATACATGGGTCGAATTCTGAATGATTTTTCGATCGAAAATCGAAAACATTGTTCGTTCTGTAATCCGATGGTGCCACCAATGATTTAGAAA